TATTTGGTTGCTTCCTAAAGAAAACCCTTAGAGGTATTAATCTTTTCAATGTTTTTTTTTTCTTCTATATTAATATCTAAGAGTAAATTCTTATTTATTTAATTTTCAATTAATTATAAAATAAAGTACAAATATGGCTAACTTTTAAAAAATGTGCAGTTTAAGGTAATAAATTCAAAAATGTATTAAAGCATGTGCAGATATACGAAAACGTTTGATTAACATTGAAATAATGGTGGTTAAAAGACTGATGATATTAAATTTAGAAATAAATACTATTCTAAAGATATGGCATTACTACATTAATCTATCATAAAATTTACATCAAAATTTTTAAAAACATTAATGCTGTTTTCTATTACAATGTCTAATTGATCACTTTGATTTCCTTTATGCAATCAGGTATTTGAACTTTCCATTGTTGATTCTATTATTGTACATTGTTGTTTTTTTTTACATCATTTACATCATTGATTCTAATAACTCCAGAAATCTTTAAACTTTGAAATTCAATATCGGAAAATATTTCCATCAAATGTCCAGGATTTTAAAATCAAAATGCGGTACTCAGTAAGTTCTTTATACAGATTCTCCATGTTATCCAACTGTACTTAATACCTAAATTGCTAAAACAACTTCAGAGAATAAATAAACATGCCATTCAATGTCTGTTGTAGTTATCGCTCTCCACTGCCAGATATAGTGGCTGAAGGCCTACAAAACTGAGTGTTGCATTTGTAAGCGCAATCCTGTATGCTTTAGTAATTAAGATGGTTATTCGCTTTAGCAGGCTGATAATTTTTCTGACTTTTTGTGCATTTAATAGGTACACCAAGTTGATGTTCCATTGCATAGTCTGGCACTGGCACTGTGTGATACCTTATTTTTAGAAATGCTGAGATAACCCAGGTTCTTCCTGTCGTCTGAAGCAGAATGTTGTCCTGTGAAGAGATTTTTCTATCGGGTAGGCTAACTGAATTCGACGGAATTATCTAAAATAATAGCAAAATATTTCAAAGATGTTGCTTGTCTTCAGAGAGTACTCCTTATTTTGAAGAATGGAGGCCTAATTAAGTCTTCAGGGTTTCAAAGACTATGGAAATAGTTTTTTGGGGCTGGAGGTTTCAAGAACTAACTTGCGAGACAGTCTAGCGACTGATTTGTCTTGATCTCTAGTCTTCTTCTGACAGTCTTCTTCTTCTTCTTTGTAGCTAAGATTTTCAGCGCCCGAGAACACCTAAAGATTTTACCCCCCTCTATGTATTCCAAGAATGGAAAACATTTCATTCTGAAATGTGTATCATCAATTTGGCGTCCCCTGGATGCTGCGCCCGGGGACGGATGCTTCCTTTGCCCCACCCTAGCTACGCCACTGGGATGCATGCATATTCCGATTCATACTGTTTAGTGTAATACGTATACCATCTTCCACTTTTATCATTGTGAAGTATTTCATGTCTTAAGACAGATACGAATAACAAACTAAAACTGTTAACAACTAACTATAGAAAAAGGAAATTCTCTTGAACATCATTAATTGATAATTAGCTAGCTTTCTTGCATTATGCCATTTGAGGATATCTTGTGTTTTTTATCTTTTATGTTTTAGAGTCATTAGGATTTTTTTTTGGAAGCCAGAGAGATGAAAAATTAGCAACCGCCTTCGCCAGGAATCGAATCACGGACCTCTGGAATGCCGGCCCAGCGTGCAGAACCACTACACCACGAAGGACGCTAGGAAAGTGGGAGAAATACCTTATAATGTTGTTGCATATACCCATTAAAGTCATCATTTTTTAAATAATTTTTATTTTTCAAAGAACGATCAAAGTCTAACTTCGGTTGAACAAAGACATTTAAAACCTGTTCCATTTCATTTTCAGACATGCTTCAAATTTAAAAAGAAAAGGAAGAAAGAAACAAAAATGTGGGAAAAAAGATGCTTTGCATCTTTCAATACGGACCTTCGAAAGATGCCCAGAAATACGAATAAACGTCTTTAAAGAAGACAGCTTTAAATAAATAATTTTAAGCAAAATTAAACAACTTTAAATTTAAATGTACAGTACAATATAAACTTAGACACAGAAAACTCGCCTTTTCGTAACAATAAATCTACAGTAATACCTAAAACGTAATAATAAATTGCGCCAAATTCAGTTCTGGAGAACGAACGCTTCTTGCAACTGTTGTTATAAACAAACCGCATGCATACAGCGAAATATTCGGTCTCTCTTTCACGGTGTGAAAGGTCGGGGGAGAGTACAAGTTGAATTAAAAGAGCAAAGGGGGGACTTTTCACTTTTTCCTTTCATTAATGATGCTGCTATATGAATAGCATGCAGGCGCAGAAAATGACATGGTACATCCAAATTCGTTTTGTTTTAAATTTATGATTCAAATGAAATCGATGACTGGATACAAGGCTGTATATTTAATGTAATTATTAAGGATTTCACTGGAGTACTAAGTTAAAAAATAATAATTCCGGTTTCCTAATTTCAAATTTGTAGGAATGCGCCGCATACATCGCATGCCCTAAGCCGATGCCGATAGAAAGTCATATTGGCAGAGTACTAAAGAAATGTTCAAAACTGGGGTACAGATGAGATAAATAAGCGTTTTTCAAAATAGAGATTTAACTTTTATTACGTATGATTTAATAAGAAGTTACTCTAGAAGTTTCGAAATTTGCAAACTATGAGTATATCCAATTTATGCTTTAACTTTTCCATATACATTTAGGTTCCAGGTAATAACTAATTTGTAGAGCATCTGAAAGAGGAAAAATTACAAAGACAGAGAATTGACTATTTTCTTTATAAGATAAAAGAGAAATATGCCTTTCACTAACTATTTACTAATAGGAAAAGATTTTCATGTCGAAACTTCTCGAGATTATTTTATATTTGAGTGAAGGAAAATGAAAATTATGAAACTGAATACTAATACCTCTTTACATTAGATGGAAAAATTGATATTCAATCATTTTTTCAGTAATTCTGAGCAAGAAATTTTAACTTATTTCTTAAAAGCTTCACGCTGACTACATTTTTCATAGAATTTTTAGTTATTAAGATGAAAGGGACAGTAAAATTAAAAAATTAGCTTAACTTTATAAGTTGATTAAAAATTAAATCCTCAAAGCATCGGGATGAATTTAATGAAAGTACACCTGTGAAACTGAATTTCAGTGAAAACTTTGTTTACCATGTTTCTAAATCTGTCACGGAAACCTTAGTATCTCGTTAACATGGAAGATGTTTCTCATAAAATTAGGCATTACGGAAGCATATCACTGGAAATTAAGCACTGGAATATGAAACTATATTAATACTGCTTAAAGATAGATTTAATAAAATTATCATTTATGAACAGGAACGAAAATTTCTTGTTCCGAGATCCTGCAACAATATTAAGTGCGCGCAAAAGAATTTTCAAAACTCGAAGAAATTTTATATTCACGTCCAAAATTAATTAAAAAATGAACGTTTCTACTTCGGATATCATTTGACTTTTATACAGTGCGTATTAACTTAGCTGACAGATTTAATGATGACTACCAGTGGTTGAATGGGTAAGACCCATAGTATTTCGATCCAAGTTCAGATATCACTGTATGGCTGGCTGCATGGCTGAAGTTCAAAACATCTCGGACAAAAGTGTCATCGAGAAAACAACACAAAAGGGAAAAAGTCGTAGAACGAAATATCGTGAAAGAAAGGAAAGCAAGAAAAAAAAAAAAAAAAAAATCGTGGTACAAAATAAAGTGATGCAAAATTTTCGCCGTTTTAAAACGCCATTATGCAAAATAGCATATAAAAAATAAAGTACCAACACAAAATCATACTATAATGATAAAATCTTAGACATGCATTTTCTAACCGAAAATATTTTAAGTGAAATTTGCTTTATGATTTATGAGCTCCATTTATAATAAGTAATATTTTACCTTTATATTTCATCGTTCTATATTCTATATTTCGTATCTTGTATTAACTAATAAATTTTTACTGAAAACGCAAGATGGAAACCTAAGTATTAAAAATCTGTAAATTAGTAAAAAACATTATGTCAATTAATAATTAAAAATTAGTCAGCAGTTAATAGAATTTTAAATATATTTTAAAGGATTTCAAACATAGTAGAATTTTATACATATATATTTTGTTCTTACTATTCATTTTATACTATAATTTTGCATGAAAAGCTACTCATACGTCTTTATAAAAGAAATTAATTAAATAATGACTGTTAATAGTTAGTACCATAAGTTTAAAATTTTATTAACTGCTATACGTAACATTAATTTTTATTAATTTTCAGATTTTAAATGCTCCGGTCTCATTTTCAGTTTTTCAATAAACGTTTATTAGTTAGTACAAAAATTTGAAATATAGATGCATAAAATATTAGTTCTTTTTGTGCTTACAATTCATAACACAAAAATTCGCTTAAAATTTTATAGTAAAATAAATGAATATCTGCGATGTTATCATCATTTGATTGGCGTTGATTCGAATAAATTAAGTTTTATAGTTTAGCGTAATAATTATTATTTATTTATAATTATTATTATATATATATATTTGCGGGGGGTTTGTTGTTGGTGTCATTCTTATTTGCAAATTACAGCATCGTGTGTTAATTGTTCCTCTTTGAATTCCTCTCTCCATACAGATTTGAGACCTGATACTGGTAGTAATTAGCACAGTATCTGTTGCACTCTTCTTCACTTTGTGTATAATGTTACAAGCGACTTAATTACAGCTCAAACTAATTTATCAATAATTACTCGAATTTTCACATTCTTTTAATGAGTTAACCGCACGGCGCAAGTCCGGCAAAAAAGAAAAAGAAAGAAATCAATGTTTCACACCGTTAATGAATGACCGGTGATTTCCGACATTAACATTGGCCGATAGCTCGAACGCCATTCGATACGCATGCGTTGTCCTCATCAAGGTCATCTCCACGGAGACGACTCTGTTGACGTTACTCCGGCGAAACGCGGCGCAGAGATGGTCTTCATTCCGCAGCTTCCGAAGTTTTCTCTTCCTAAATTCTTTGCGCTTGGAGACGGGTGGCAGAGAATTTAATTTTGAATCTCGGTAACGGATTGGTCCGCTAAGATTCATCGTGGAACTCATACGGGGCGTTCTAAGGGTGCCGAAAAAATGTTATGGTGAAGTGATGGGGAAACATAACAGTAAACTCAGTCGTGAAGAGCTCGAAGAACTTGAAGAACTGACAAACTGTAAGTTTTTTTTTTTACTCCCTCATTTACCTATTTTTGTTGACACAGTTTATGAAATTTATCTTCATGCTCTTCTCCTCCCCTCCCCTAAATAATTTGAATCTATTTTTTTTAACTTTTCAAACTCAACTGATGAGTATTTAATTTAAACTCCTGATAATTTTATTTTTATTATTCCGTATTATCAATGAGGTATTTTATTTTGTTCTTATTTTTATTTATTTTTTAGTAGCAAAATTACCTTCTTTTTTAGTAGCAAAATCTAATAAAATACAATTTTTAAGGTGGAAACCAATTCTAATCTTCAATAAACAACAACCAACAGTCAGCCTTAAAAATTTAGCGGTTATTTATGATACTCTTTTTACCGAATATTTGCTTTTAATGAATATTTCCGAATGTGTATGTGTAATGTGTATAGCTACTATAAACTTTGAACGATAAACTTAAATCACTGAAATTTTGAATTATGGAGGTAATATCGGAATTTATAAGAGGATTATGATGTTTATAGTGCATTGCCCCTTCCTTATTGTAAAAAATTTGTTTATTTATATAATAAAATACTTGATTATTCATTCGATTGCGCATTATGTTAAAACGTTAGATATAGTTTTTTCGCATCGTATCTACTCTATAATTTCAACGGTTTGCGCTTTATTTGGTATTTTATGTCCTTTACTTACCTTTACTTTTAGTTTAATTGCATCATTGTCTCTCAGCAGATTTCCTTTATAATATTAAAATTGTTTCTTAATACATATTTTCCGATGTTTCTAAGATCCAATTTGATAACAGGGTTAATAATTTTTATTTCATAACAAATTTCACAACAAATTTGAAAATAAAATCTGTCAGACTACTTTCCAATCTAATTTCAGTATGCTGAAAATCATATAGCAAAATTTAGCTTTTCAAACGCTTTTTCCCTCTTAATGTTTTAAAGAAACATTTAGCAAGGTAAAAATAATAGACTTTCAATATATTATCTGGAAACTGCGAATGTTCATAGACTTCTGAGACGTTAAACGACGAAGGCGAAGGATGAGTAAAAAAAATATTTTCGCTTTTTCTGTTAATTTCTTCGAATTCGTAATCTAATTCTCATTTTCGTTATGCGTTAAAACCAAAATCTTCGCCTTAGGTACAGAAATAGACCAAACTTCTCCAATTATAAGAATTTTTTCGCATATGTCCGTTTTTTATTCCGTTAAAAAACCATTACTATCCTTTTCTCATTCCTTTCCCAGTTGCTCTTCAAGACGCTGAATTTAACTGAATTGTGTGTTTTGTTATATAATCTTTTTAGGGTCTTTCTGAATTAAGCACTTATCGATCTGAGAGGGTTTGAAGCTTTTCGGTTTTGTCGCCTCTTGTTTGTATGAAAGTAACCACTTGCTGTTTAAATGTCTCTTCTAATCTGATAAATAGTTACAGAATAGTTTCCCAAAGAGTTGGGTAAAAAAAAAAAAAAAAAAGAAAAAAAAAAAAGAAATGTGTAAATTAGTCCTGAGTGCCATCCTATTACTTCTTACAGATTTCCTAACATTTACCAAACTTTTAAAATGAATACCAAAAATATCATCATATTCAAATTCCTTTATGCCCAAAAATTATCTAGAAGTGACTTAAAATGATTTATTTTCTAAATGTTGTGTAGTACGACCGATGCTTACATAGTTACATAGTTCATGACAGACATAGTTCATAGTACATGCTTATATACAAGTAGTTCATAATACGTAGATCTTTCATAATACGTGCTTACATAGTTCATACATATACATGCTAGTTCATACATATACATGCTTACATAGTTCATACATATACATGCTTACATAGTTCATACATATACATGCTTACATAGTTCATAATATATTGAGCCAGTTACGTAATACATACATAGTTCATAATAATTTTCATTGGCTATAATACATAAATGTTTCATAATATACTATACCAGGGGTGGCCAAGCTCCTTGATAGTTCCAACCATTTTACAAAATTTGAAATTTTTCGCGAGCCGCAATTAAATACGTGTTTAAAAGGTATGCAAAAAAGGTATTAAAAATTTTTTTTACAGAAATTGTATTTATTGACGGTACAACTCTGATATACGCATTAATTTCACCAAATGTGGCGACGTTGAAAAATCTTTCGCTGAAGCTCGTTGGTTCGCGTCATGCTCTGTGTCTGAGAAGGTAGAGGGAAAAGATAAAATGGTGGAAGTTGTTGAATTGAAGTTCGGCAAAAAAGAAATATCACCGAGGCCATCCTGTTGAGGGGCAGTGAGTATTTGGAGGTGTGGAAAGAGGGTATGGGAGATTATTTTTAGTGGCTGTGCATGATAGAAGTAAGGATTTGTGATTATTTGTGATTTTATTTATTTGTGAACCATAGTATGAATTTTCTGGTTAGTGTGTGTGACTGTCATATAAATATGATAGTGATTATGTGGAGGTATGAAACTGGTATTTCTGCTGTTCGAAAAAAAGCATTAATTCATGGTAAGTGTATCTTATTTTATTCTCGTTCTTATTTTGTAGAATGTTATGTTCATTGTATTTTCAGTATTAATTTCTGTCGTTATTGTTGTTTTTTTGAATTATTTGAAATTTATTTTAGTTTATTTTGTTGATTAGTGCGTAGCGTCTAGATTGTGCAATTCGTAGATTTTTTTAAAGCTGAAACAGAACGCTGTGCATATGGTATTCTTCGAAATTTATTGTTGTTATCTTAATTTATTAAAGCGAGGTGTGCATAGTTCGTCGATTCGTTTGTTGCCTAGATTGTGCAATTCGTAGATTTTTTTTAAAGTTTGAACAGGCTGCTGTGTACATGGTATTCTTTGAAATTTATTGTTGTTATGTTAATTTATTAAAGCGAGGTGTGCGTAGTTCATCGATTCGTTTGTTGCCTAGATTGTGCAATTCGTAGATGTTTTTTTAAGTTTAAACAGGCTGCTGTGTACATGGTATTCTTTGAAATTTATTGTTGTTATGTTAATTTATTAAAGCGAGGTGTGCGTACATAATTCGTAGATTCGTTCGTTGCCTAGATTGTGCCATTCTTAGATGTTTTTTTAAGTTAAAACATATCGCTGTGTACATGGATTTTTGTCAAATATTTTTGGTTAGAAACTTTACGTTTTTGCTATCTAAAGTTTTTGTTTCGGATTTTTAGCTTAAATTGTGTATTCAAAATGTGGTTTTTGCATTTGCGAAAACCGCATTTCTGGAGACATTTTAGGCTTAAAGTTCGAAATGTAGACAAAAAATTTAGATAGTAATATGGCAGCGTGGAGTTTCTCGCGAATCATTTTTGGCGAGAAATTTGGCGACTTGAGGGCGCATATCAGAGTAGTTCCATATTGAAAACATATAAATAAAAGTACAAAATATGCGTATTGAATTTCAATATTAAAAATTAAACACATTTATTTTACTTCTCTTGATAATTCTTTAAAATTTGGTGAATAATTGGTGACAGCACTTCTCAGTAATTCTTTCAGATGCTGGTTAGTTAATACTGATCGGTGTTTGGATTTCAAGAATTTTAAAGTGGAATAAAATGATTCGCATAAGTACGTCGTTCCGAATATTGAAATAATTCGACAAGCAGCCTTTTTAAATTCAGGATACTTCGATTCTGCTACAAATTTCCAAAATTCAGTAATCGGCATCGATTTATATTTTAATTGTAGAACTTGATCTTCTTGCCTCTGTATTAATTCTAATTCTCCGGATGCTTTTTGGGTCATAATTATATTTTAAATGGAAAACTCACCTTGAATTATGCTAATTTCAAATAGATTCCGAGAAAAATCAAGAGACGATGGACGGAAATGAAATTTGTTGCAACGTTGCACTTAGTCTTTCATATTTGTTGTCTGTAATTTAAAAGAGATTTTGAAACACATACGGAACGATAATAATTTTTTAAAATATAATAACACAAAAGGGAATTGGGGGTACATTTACAGAGAGCCACAAATAATCCTTCAAAGAGCCGCATGTGGCTCGCGAGCCGCAGGTTGGCTACCCATGATATATACAATTAAAAAAAAGGGGGAAGAGAGAAGAGAGATTTTATTGAATCAGGTGACAGGTGAATGCAGGGCCCGGACACCCGGACGACTTAATATGACAAATCGGGTGTCGTCAGGTACCCGCACCTATTTAGAATAACACAACCCTGGCGACTTCTTGAGAGGGCAGCATCGGAATATATTAATGGAGAATATGGGGTATTGACGTGGCCCAAACAAGGGCGTGTGCATATATATGCTTCAGTATACAATTAATAAAAAGTTTCATACATAGGTACATTGGTGGTATAGGTACGTTGGATACATATGTATATTGGTCTAAGTGGTTAATGAGATAGGCAAACAATAAACACTTATACATTAAAAGAAATGAAACACTGACGCAACTGGCGCAATAATGCAGAAGATGACAATTAATGAATACACGTAATCGTGTGTCATCCTATATGACTATACATAAACTACTAGAAATGATATGCATAAACACATACGAAATGATGGCGATAAATGAAAACACATAATCATACATTATTCTACTGGACTATACACACATCAATAAAAATGATACATACACACCTATACGTTGACAGAAATGATACACTGAGAATGAAAATTGTGTATCAGTGTGAACGATGACAATTAAAGGTTACACATATTCGTGTATTACCTTACTTGGCTATACATATATATTAGTACAAATGATACACTTAAACACTTATACATTAATGGAAATGAAATACTGAAAATGGCACTTATACATTATACGATAGATGAAGAATAATGGTAACACGTAATCGTGTATCATCCTAAGTGGCTATGCATACAGTAATAGAAATGATACACTTATACATTAACATACATTTATAACATGGTAAATGATGCATTTATATATTAATAGAAATGGTACACTGACAATGATATTTTCACATTAATACGAAAGATGACAAGTAATG